TAAATTCTAGTTTTCCAGACTTGTGTTTAAAGAAATATTTATTATCAAGTTCCGAAGTACACGCCATTGTATAATATATTTATCATATACTACTTCGTAGAAAATGCAGAATTTTTACCTCTCTCTCGATTTAGAGGAAAAAACGTTTGAGCTTTTCTGATTGTTGCTTTTCTTCTTTTAATACCCCAGACTGACCAAACTCAAACCAATGACTTTATAAATGTAATTAACATTTCAAAAATTTTTAATTTAAAATACATTTTTCCATGTAGTCAGGAAATATCTTTTTACTTGTCTGTTAAACCCAGAGAGTACAAAGAACTCCTACCCGATTAACTCTTGTTTACATAGAAACACTGTTGTAAAGTTTTCTGTTTCCTGAATTCATCTTTTCATATTTAAGTTAGGTCTCTTAACCTCCATGGGAGTTACTAATGTGCTTAGTTAAAACAATCCACGAAACCTGCAGGGGCACAAATGAAACAACTGCTGAACTCAGTCATCCCTTTGCTTTCCCCACAAGAAGCGTATCTGTGGTGAATAAATTCCTCTGCAGGGGTTTTGTCACCGTAGAGCATTTCAGTTACCTGGTGTGGCTAAATCAAGAAAGCCACAAATATGGGGAGTGATTCAGACACTCCGTTATTTCACATCAACTTTAGTACTTGAGCACAAAATGCTGCTCCTCCCGAGAGAAGAGAGGCTGCATCTGGCAAAGGACACCCCAGCAGTGTAAATAAACCGAGGTTTACTTTTCACAGTGCAGGGGTGAAAGAGAAAGGAGTCACAGGCAGTAGTCCTGTGACAACTGACACTCCTCCCCTCCAGTAATTAGAAAATTAAATAAAAGAAAGCAAAACCATTAAGTGGCACATAAACAAGCACACAGAACCTGCATTCTATCACCAGAAGCCACGAAGTCTTTCAGGGTACACTGCAGAAAATTCCTATTCAAGCAGCCCCGTGCAAAGCAAGAAAGTGCCCTCTTGAGGTCATTTCCTGCTTTCAGGAAAAAATAACCACAGGCACACACACAAACCCGTCGGTTTCCCGCTGGCCTGTCCCCCCAGAGGCCGTGCACTTCCCACCGCTTGTCCTCAGTGCTGATGCAGCTAAACCAGCATTTTGCGATTCAGCAATAGGAGCAAAGGAAAAAACCCAACCACCTCCTCGCTCAGCCTTTTCCCTCTCGTACTGTGAACTCCAGAGGCAGCCCCGCAGGGAGGAGGGCAGCTCTCTCCCTGCCCCACCCGCAGGCACAGGCACAATGCACGGCTGGTACTGGGTGACACGCTGGAAGTGACAACTTACTTACCCTTAGTTCTGTCTGCATAGTTTGCTTTGGAATATTTTGGAATTACTGGGAAATACTTATATCAACGGACTGCACAATTCAACTAATACAATTTTTTTGTCGTAGTTTTAAAATGTTAGTTTCATTCTCTCTGTTAACACAGTGGCCGTTTCACATTGCTGAGAAGTCGTTCCTTGGGTGATTTTATGGCATTTTAGAAACAGTAAGTACTTTCCTACAGAGTTTGCCCTTACCTGTTTGGCGCTTTTCTTGTTTGCTTGTTTGTTACATCAAGCAGCACTGAAATTAAAATTCTTAACGTCACCTGTAGTATCACAGCAGTCTGGAAGACACGCTTGTTAATTCATTAAATTCAACACAGGAAGTCCTTACACCCATGTTGTCGTTTACTGATGATTTTCTATCACATCAATTTAAAAATGAAAAACCCTTGGGAACTCAAGGGACATGTGGTGTAATGCAGGTCTAGCCTGAAGTCCAGTGGCAATTAAAAAACATTAGTTTTGTACTTTTCTGCTAATACAATAATTTTCTAGCTGTGGGGGTAGTTTATTAATGCAAGTATCCTCCTCATCAAGCAAAGTCTAAAACTGCTTTTCTGTTTACCACAGTGAAAAAGAATAGAAAACTATTTGGCAAACAGAAAGCTATTTGGCTTTCCATTAAAACCCCTCAAATTCATAGGCATGTAGACAACTGGAATTGTTATATTACACTAATGAGCTAATTACAGTGGTTCAGTATTTTCATTAATGTACCTATATCAGTTTCAAGTTCAGGTGTTGGTAGAAATGTGAGTACACTTCTGTTGGTGAAATGTGGTACATCTGGGGGTACATTAGAAAGGAATACAGTCTCCTTTCCTGTTTGTTGGTTCTGAGTACCCTAATAATGAAAATGCCACACCACTCAAAGCATTAAATAGGGGCCCTTGGGGTTAGTTTTGGTGAAAGACCAGCTGGAGCTTTCATGTGCTCTTATTCAAATAGATAAGTTTATTCTGCTTAGCCACAGACGTTATTTCTGCAGGAATACCTGTCCGCACATTCCTATGGCAAGACTGACAAAACCAACTTTGTCCCCTTCTGTGCTTTTGGCTGGACATGGATATCAATTAGGAAAACACATTCATTTTTACATTACAAACTATTTACAGGAAGCAGCTTCCAGGATAAAGTTTGAAAGAAAGGAATGTAAATAATCAACACCTTCCAGAAACATGCAGCCTCTGAGCGGTAGCAGGCCTCACGCTGAACAATTCACAGGCAGAGAGCTTATATTCTGCTGCCTGTGGGCAGAAACACACAGCTCTTCTATTCTACACTATTTTAAAACCTCGGTTACTTTTCTACCCCTTTCTTTTATTGTCCTCATGTAGCACGTGCTGCCAGTGTATGGGACACAAGCTGGCAGCCCCAGATCCTGGCCACGCTATGTTTGCAAGAACTGTGGCACAGCCAGAGGTACTTCCTACTGCCTGAAGGGTTTTCTCTCTTACTGATCCCAAGTTTAGCAGTTAGAAGAATAAAAAAACCCCAGTATGTCAGTTTTGATTTTTTAAAACCTAGTCACATTATTTTTTATTACTACAAGTATTACTAGGTGAAGTATCTCAACAGCCATCTTTAGAAAGCTATCTGCTTCTAGAAATCACGTGTTTTCAAGAATTAAAGACATTAACTTGGCAATATCTAAGTATTTCAAGAACACAGTCTTTAACATTCATAGTTTGTCTTTAAAAAAGTACTTGCTGGTAGCTTTACATTTCAGCGAAAGGCTGAGTCTGCAGCTTCTGAAACTGAACTGTCTGTTCTGCTCTAGCTCTCTGAATGCTTCCATTAACATTTGGGTTTTAATCATTGGCTGTTACTATTCCACTATAAAACTCAGTTTACTTTTAGGGTAGCCCACTAAATGTAACAATGGTGGCGGTTTTGTTTTATTTTTTCCTGTCTGTGATAAATATTTTGTAACTTCAGTAGTAATAGACATTTGGCAGTGTTAGCAAATTAAACACAAAAAATAAATAGCAGTAACTAGACTTGGCTCCAATACATGTATAGGATATTTCAGAATGACTTATTTGTACAGTTGCCTTCCTCCGCCTCTTAAAGCATGTCAAAGTATTCTGACAATGCAGCATCACTATGTGCCAGTCTTTATATTGTTTGGAAACTAAGTAAAATGAACAGTTTTTAAAGTGTCTTTTCCACCTGGACTATTTTCTCTCTGCTGACTTGAAGAATAAATTTGTATTTGTATATGTTGTAAAAATAATAAATGGCTGAAGATGTTGACTCTTTTGCTTTTACCTTCCTGAACTGACAAAGTGCTTGCAAATGGCCCCCTTGGAATTTTTCAGCATTGAAATCACATCTGTATTTGCAAACACTTAACAACTAAACAGAAATACTTAAAAACTATGGGAATGGCAGCCTAAATAGACAGAAACACACACGTTACCATCAGTATTATGTAGACAGTTTTGTAATCTACATAGCAAAATAAGTCTTTTCTAATCCATTAACAGGTAGATGTCTATTCCAAAAATGTCTGTGCATTTATGTTTCACTACTGGAAAGTGAACTATCTAAGAACCATACACCAGGATAAAGGACTAGCTACCCTAGAGAAAAAGACATATTTTCTGATTATTGTAAGAAGACTTGAACACTGTAAAACATAAGTCTTTTCTAATCCATTAACAGGTAGATGTCTATTCCAAAAATGTCTGTGCATTTATGTTTCACTACTGGAAAGTGAACTATCTAAGAACCATACACCAGGATAAAGGACTAGCTACCCTAGAGAAAAAGACATATTTTTCTGATTATTGTAAGAAGACTTGAACGCTGTAAAACTTACAACATGCATCAATATCACATCATGGACTAAATGCCACAAAATGTATTAGCCAGCAGCCAGGGACAGGAACAGCCTACCACACTTCCCTGCAGAATGCAATTCACATCAACCCAATACTCACTTTTTAATTACTTCATGTATTTACTTACTTTTTGCAAAGCCAATATGCAAATGGATTCTAAAACAACCAGACAATAACTAATATTTGGGGAACGGGGAGAAAACTACTTCCAGGATTAAAAAAAGATATTTAAATTCTTACCTTGAATTTGTCCAGTACTCTCGATAGCAATTGTTTATTGAAGACACTGTAGCAGAGCATTCAACTGTGATGATAATTTAGAACTGGAATTCGGTAATCCCAGTTTGCCAATACCAGGATTCATCGGAGGGGGGAAAATTAAAAAAATGCCCCACCACATAAAAAAATCATTTCCAGATGAGGTAACTGATTATGAGACATTAGAAGAAAATCAGGAAAATTTGCAATACTTACTCCAAATCTCTCAGTATCTTAAACATGAAAGACATCGATATTATGTTACAATTTCCAAAATATTTATTAATTTATCAACACAACGCATTTGATTTCTCAGAAACACATATGTCTATATTCTGTTATAAAAATTAGAAAATATATAAACAAAAATGCTATAATGTATGGATGGTTGCAAACAATTTTAAAATGACCTGGGTTTGTCTCTTTTTGAATTATTCCTGCAACTGTTCACTGTGGTTCTCAAGTCCTGAGAACACGGGCTCAGTGGTTAAGTGGAGAGACCTTGTAACTCTGCGTGGAAAACTGCTGTTAAAATTGTCTTTGCGTTTCTATATTCAGAAGAAAACCTACTTGAATTCCTTTAATGAGTGGAAATTTCTTTCAGCCAACCTTTCTCCATAATTAAGAAGCCAGCTGAACATGACTGATAGACACAGTTACAAGGATGACTCCTTCAAGTGTTTAGCAAAATCCAAGGGTTTGTGAAGAACAGTCTCACTGACATGTTGTTGAAGCTGTTTGTTTAGCTCTTCATCTATAAATGAATCCACTTGTGAGAACGTATCCTGAAAATTAAAAAATATTACTTGCGTTACTGAACAAGGCCAGTATGTATTTTCTGTGCATAACTTTGAATTAGCAGTCTTGTTTCCCTCCTGTGCCACAGGTCATCTAGTCTAGACCTATGGAACAGGCAGCTCAGGCATATCTGGACAAATGTGATCCTCTCTTTAGTGGGGCACAGGGAGAGAAAACGCCGATGTGGAGCTTCTGTCAACAGCAGGGAGGTGGTGACAGGCAGTGGCAGCATGGCACACACAAATTACACATGGCAGAGAGGGTAAAACTTCGATAGTGCCAAAATTTGTTAATGAACCAAACTATCAGACAGTAGGCAAGACCCCAAGGTAGGTTGCCCAATAATGTCCAGTAATATAACGACCTACAGCCAGTCTGGTCTGTTATCTTCCTCTTCCTTTGTTTCGGCGACCTTAAAGAGCTTGGACATTTCCTTACTCAAGCCCTGCACAAACCTCTCTCCTATCTGCTGTTCCCACCCTTGTTCTGGCTGAGCTGCTAATCTAACGTTCTAGCAGGACAGACACATCAAAAAGTCAGTATAAAAGGACAGGATAAGTACATACAAATACATTTTCAGAAGATGCTTCTCTAAAATGGAAAAAAAAATTGTGCTCTCAAGCTTTAACTGACATTACAGAGTTAAAAATTGGAAGTACTAACAAGGTTAATAGGTTATAATGTTTTCATTAGGCAGCAAGAAAATTAATTATCACTTTTCAAAGGACATGTCATTCACTGAACATTTAATGGAGGTTGGCATCTGGAACACATCCAGTGCTGAGGATCTAAAAAGTGTTCACCCATATCTTCTCTTTATACATGAACTCTTTATTCCCTTCAGATTTACACTTTAAAGCTATAAAGTGACACTAATGGGATCAGTATCCTACATACTGAATCAAAGGCTCTGGAAATCCAGCTGTCCTGCCAACTACCCACACTGGGGAAAGAGCTCTGCGTTTTTATTACTGCTTTCTGAACGAGTATTAGTTTGTCATTACAGAAAAGGAACAAGAAATCTGCACTGAACTGCTGCAAAGTGCAAAAGGTAAGTAAAGTAAGAGCTTCTATCTTCGTCTTGCTACATTAAATGATGCTACTGAGGTGGAACTATTCATACAGCTTTTCTTCTTTATAGTCAGTGGTATCTTATGACAGTTTAAAAAAAAAAATTGACACAGAAGGTGCAGAAACCAGAAAGCCAAATTAAGTGTGCTAATTCCTGAGCACTGCACAGTGAGCCAGCAGATAGAGGTTATATTGGCATACCATGTGGTTAAAAAAGGACAAAGAGACATAAGCTGGTACCTTTCTTCTGGGCGTTACTGATGCAACAGGAGGATTGAAGGTCATTTCTCTCATACTGTATGCCTCAAAAAGTTCTCTAGCAGGCCTGTAGCAAAAACCACAGTGAAGGAAAAAATGGCATTAGATGTATTTTCAAATAATGTATCCCCAAACCAAGAGCAGCTTCTCTCACACACATGCCATTCAACCCCTCCACTGTGCTTCAAGAGAACTCCTCAGAGTAATGAGCATCACCTGGAAAAGATGGGAAGCCAACAGCTGGGAAACAATGCAAGCAAAAGTAAGTAAAATGTGTCTAAATACTCAGTTGCGGGCAGAAGAAATGGGAGACAGCAAAACCGTTCTGCTGGACTGCCAGAGCTCCAAGCAGTCACTGCTTGCCCTGTACATATTTGAAAAAGTTAAAATAAAATATGTGGATAGAAGTTTTCTAGCTGATACAATCTGCTAGAATTTCCAACAGTTCTTTACCAAAGGGTTTTATGAAAACTAAGCAGCCATGGGAGAGAACAGGGAAGACCATCACATGGGAAAAAAAACTGTTTAAAGAATAGGAAACAGAGGACAGGAGTCTATGACCAGTTTTTGCAATGTCAGGAAGAAACTATGGATTTCCACAAGGTCAGTGGCCAGGACCTGTGCTTTTTAACACAGAGATGAGCTGGAGAGTACAAAGTTATTTGTGGTAGTCAGAATGAGTTGCTTGCAAAGAAATGCAAATACAGTCTATGAGATAGTCAGTAAAATGGCAAATAAAATTTAGTGGGGAAAAAAAAATACAGCGAAAAGCAGCCTCAGCTTCACACAAAAACAATAGGCTCTGAGCTGACCGCTACCACTTAAGGAGAAAAATCTTCTTGTTATGACAGATACTTTCGTGGGCTTGTGACCTTAATGCTCTTTGGAGTTGAAAAGAATCAGAGAGCAGTATAGAAAACAGTTACATCAGCGTATAAATGCACAGATCATCCACATCTCAAATACTGCATCTAAGTCTCCTGAATTGGTAAAAGTTCAGGAACAGGCAACAAAGATGATGAGAAGTACGGAACGAATCCTGTCTGGGCCAGATCACTTCAGCCAGAAGAGATGCCAGACAGAGGAACAATATGATAGAGGTCTACCAAGTCACAGGAGGCACAGAAAAAGCCCATTAGAGCAGACAGCTCATCTCACCTCCCAGAGCAAGAACCAGGGACTTGTTACATGCCACATGCTGGCACTAGGTCCAAAACAAATGAAGGTAAGTCTTAATGTAACAAGCTGTGGACTCACGGAACCCTTACCAAGCAATGCTGTATTTGCAAAATGTGTGCTTTGGTTCAAGGGACACGGAACAGTTTTGAGAAGAATTCCATGAAGAGGTACTAAACAGAGACTGCTATCAGGTTCAGGAAATCCACCAGGCTCAAACCTGCCAGAGGCTAGGACACTGCTCAGGGCATGTGTCTTACAGGCTTGCTTACCCTGCTTTTACTCTTCCTGAGGCACCTGCTTTCAGCCAGTGCTGAAGACAGGACACGGAATCAGATCCTTAGTCAGAACCAGGATGGCTGTTCCTCTGTTTTAACGGGCTATGAAACTTATCCTGCAGCTTGGTACACTGGACAACCACGGTTCAGTGACCCTAATCCATATTCAGATCAGGGCTGCTACTGAGGAAATGCAGATACTTTGCTCCCGTGGGAAGAAAGCACATTGCACTTCGAGATTTTTACCCTTGTCACTGCCTGGCAATAAGCCTCAAAAGAAAAAGAAAAAGGAAAAAAAAAAAACAGAAAAAGGCAGCCAACATTCTGTACTGGCAGAAGAATAAAGAAAGGGAGTTTGAAGAACAGAATCTTTTAATTTTATGGATAATTATTTTTAGAGATTCTTTTAATAAGGCATGAGCATCAGCTTCCTTTCAGGGCACTATTTTTAATAACGGAACTCTTTCATAACTCACCTTTGGCTCAAATCAAGTGGAAGAGCTCCTGAGCCTTCAGTTGGAGCTCCGGCAATAAGGTGAGCTGCAAATTTCTGCACTGTTGGATGATAGTGTCTCTGAAAGAAAGGAAGAAAAAAGGTAGTTGACTGAGGGATAAGGGATACTGTATTTACCTATGGATTCTTGTGTTTATTTCCATTTCAGTAAGATGAAAAGTTCTGCTTTTGGTTTAGATAGAGAAACTGAGCACCCCAAAATCTGTCTGGTTTGGGGGTTAGGAATAAGAACAGCCAGTCATACGTTTATTCACTAGTTTGTCATGCTGTGAGCAGAATTCTCCATAATTAATCTAACTCCTGCTCCCAGAAGACAGGAACTCTAAATCCTAGCTGGGATGACAGATCAAGGGGTCAACTTCTCCCCAGAAAAGGTCTGGACTGCAAGGGAACTTTACAGATCGAAAAAGCCTCCAAAAGAGTTTTATGAAGCAACCTGCAGTTAAGATCCAGTGTGGTACCACCATACGCAATCTCTAACATCTCCTTTCAAGCTCATTCCTTCCTTGTACCACTGTGCTGCTCTTCCTCTTTGTAAGGAATAGGCTCACATGGGCTAGATTTTGTTCATAACCCTGAAGACCTCTGTTCCCTATTTGTGTAAAGCACATAAACATTTAATCATAGAATGGCCTAAGCTAGAAGGGACCTTAGAGATCATTTTAATCCAGCCTCCCTGCCTCCAAGGACACCTCCTGTCAACTAGATCAGGCAACATATGGGGACCCAACGGGAATCGAACCCGCGGCCTTAGCGTTGTTAGCACTATGCTCAACTGACTGAGCTAACCGGCCCCCTGTTTAGCAGCTATTTGCTGCTGACTTCTACTTCCCAAATCACTCAGCTACTCACTAACCTGCAGTAAATGCAGCTCCCACAGAGCTGTGTTCTGAGCGTTGCAATGCTCTGGTTCCTCTAGTTCTGGGAGATAGACTCCACTGCCTTGAGATTCGTTGTCTAGTAAGAGGTCCATCTTTGGGAATGTCTACAACACATAAACCAAGACTGACTTGCTTATATGACACATGCAGTTGTAACATGTTTAAGGTCAGGATTCATTCCACATGATTCAGTCTCAGTAGCATGTAAGGATACTCCGCTTTCAAGATTTTTGCTTAAGATGCTTCAAAATATTTTGTATTAAATCGATTTGTCTAAAAAAACCCCTTAAGCAGCAAGCTAAAAATTCAAACAAGTAAAACTTACTTGCATGAATACCCTGTTTGTCGCCAAGATCCCAACACTGGAGTTCGGAAGCACATGAAGAGCGAGCGTGGAAAGTCGCTTTAGGAAAGCAAGAGCTCGTTGCTGGGAAACTTGCTTCCTCCGCTTGGCAAACATAACGTCCAGGCACTGGAGCACAATCTCTACGTCATCGTTGGTGCCACCTCAAAAGCAGAAATTCATGCAAAGAGTAAATAACCATTCTGAGGAACAGCCAGGTAAGTACTCTGTCATCAACTATACACAGGGACCTGAGAAACAGCACAAAAGCAAAGAGGTTCAAACACAGCACTAATGCGAAACAGGCATAAGCATCCATTCTTGTTTGGTAAAAAAAAGTCCAGCTTTGAACAAATAAAAAAGTATCACTGCTCCTGTGCCCCTTTCTAAGAAAATATTTGTTCCATCAAATTCATTGGAATCAGCTAGTGTTTTAACCAAAGTGCAGTCATTATATCATCTCTTATAAATTGTTAAATGGTGCAAAGGTTTAGCCTTCTACAAATCCAGAACTGTAGAATGTTTTTTCTCGATCTTTCTTCCTTAGTGAATATACATTTGTGAAGTTAATTTAAAATGTTAATTTCAAACTTCATAAATATCTTTCTTCATCAGAATTATTAGAAAACTAGAATGTCAGAATTACAAAAATCAGAAAGACAAAGCAGAAGATTTTAGAAAACAATTAGAGAAAAACTAGAAAATTTTTAATTGCCAATGAAAGGAACAATTGTAAGAAGACAAAAAATTTAAAGTGAAGACAGGATAAATGCTTATCCAAGATCACATACTCAGCATTCGCTAACGAAATGGCATGATTAGAACCTGTTATGTATTATGATAATATTTCTAGTATTTGTAGTGCAGTAGTGCAATGTGCAACTTGAGAAAAAAGTACATTAAACCAGACAGACAATAACATTTTCAGAACTCAGATGTCTTAAAGCAACTGTAGTTTATTTACATGATACTAAGGCTATGATACCAAGCAAGCAAAATAAACATTATCTAGGTAAACACTGAAAACAAAAAATCTGGAGTTACCTGCATGTAGGCTGAAAAGTGTCTTGTAAAGGTGCGTGTAGAATTTCATTGGATCAATGTTGAGAACATCACCTGTTAACATAATCACAAATAAATACATTTACTCCATTAATTTATCAGACAATATATAAACAGAAGTTTGGTTTTAATGATTTCTTACCTTGACCAGACAGTATATGAAAAGCACTGAGAACACAATGAAGACTCTCACGATAGCTTAAACCCTAAGAATACAAAACTGATTAAGTACCCAAAAGAACGTAATTTTAGGGAAGCTGTAATAAAAGTAAGCTCAACTTACCCCAGATGCAATAAGAGAATGAAGGACAATCACTAGGTCATCAAAAAATTCCACATTTATGAGATGAGCAAACCTTGAATCAAAGATATTTTTATTTTTAAGCTACAGACAATACTTTCAAACTCATTTTGAAGTATTTTGAATTGCCTGAACCCACACCTTAAAAGCAAAGCCAAATCAAATGCTAAACATCTATTATTTTCACCTAGATTTATGATTTAACCCCCAACTGCTAATCACAGCTTCCCTAAAGCACTAGAGATGTGCTCCTGCTTTTCAGAAAGTCATCAGACAAAATAATGGAATCACATCCCACCCTGCTGGGTTTGCATCACATCAATTCTATTGTGGGAAATTTCACATCACATTGAAATGTTTTTTGAAGTAGGTGAAAACTTCAGCAGAGAAATAAAGAATTTCAAGAAATTTGTCAGGGACTGTCTTCTCTCACTGCTTATAAATGCCTTTTGAAGTCAACCCCCCCTTAAGTGCTTTACATCTTTTCTAATACACACAAAAGGTGGATTCAGTTCTTACTTTGCAAGGCCTTCTAGCACAGCTGGCAACAGTGGAGACTTCTGAGCTTTCTTCAAGATTCTGAAGTAAGTTACAAATACAATATTCAATGTCTCTGTGTGCTGAAGGAAAGAAAAAGAAGTGAAATATTTAAGCACAGAAAATAGACGTTTCTAGTTAAACTCAACTGAAAATGCTTCTCTCTGTCCAAGCCTGCACTCAGGCTTTCCAGACGGGTCCTAGCACTGCCAGCTCTGTTCTGCTGCTGCTCAAGAGCCAAAGGTCCTGCTCCCTCACCCCCCCGCACCCTCCAGGCTAAACAGCCTCTCTTCCCCTCGGTCCCTGCTAGCCACGTTCCATTTCAGCCAGGAGGCTGGTAACAGCCATTCCATGGTCTCCTGTGGAGCAAGGCACCTGACGACATAAGGCAACGGGTCCAAAGCCCTTAAGCCGGCTTTCCTGGGTAAACCGAGAGGGCCTGGTTTACTAAAACCTAGACCTCTGGCTCAGGCAAAATGTTTGTAAGCTGCCAGCGTTACTGAGAGGTGTTAAATGCCGACACGATTGGACAGGGTGGGAGACACTTGGTTGCAAAAACGTTAGGAGCTGCTGCTTTTCAAAAATAGGAAAATAATCTCTATATTACTTACCAGTTTCAGTTTTTTTTCTTTACTTTCTGATGCTTCTGCTTCCAAGAGTTCTCGTTCCAGCTTCTCTTCTGCTTTCTTCCACTGAAAATACAGAGTTGATTTTAAGACAACAGATTAGATGTTTCTGACCAGTCTGGCTAGCCAGTTTCCAAAGATACCCAGAGAACAATTATTCCATGCTTGGCGAGTTGCTTAAGTCGCCCCGTGACGGTGCAGGGTAACCAGCTTAGATATATTCCTTCCTATCAGAAATCAGAAAATGAAAGTCATTGTCAACACCAGAAAGAGAAAAATAAATGAAAAATAATTGAATTCCCTGTAGAACCTCATAAATATTCAAGTGCAACGCAAACTTTCCCTGATGCCCAGAGTTAACACTGGCAACGCATGTGCAATTTCTATTGCTAGAACAGTCACTGAAGCAGAGCACGTGAAAGCACACGTCATACCTTTCTTTGCATTCTTGAAAGATTTTTTCTTTTCTCTTTGTAGGTCATGAACTTTTTTTTTGGTGCAATATCTTCGGAATCTTTTTGTAATTCTACTTCCTTAATTCGTAAGTGAAGAAATACTTTTAATACCTATTGTAAAATAAAATAAATACAATGAAAGGAGATCCACAACAGAGGTATGGAGGGTAAGAAATCCTGAATTCCATTCTAGCTAGTGGGCTTTGCTGGTCAAAAATTGTTCTGTTTGCTCCCTTCCTGCTCCTTAACATCCATCTCTCATCTCTGCTCAGTTCCTTCCTCAGCACCATCCGTTTCTCTCCATTCCTCCACTTGACTCTCACTTCAAGTCTCCCTGCCTGACTTCACCCATGTCTCTGTGGGATCTGATCTCCTCCTCCCATTCCCCTTCCCTTGCCCCATATCCCTCTAAACCTCTGGTTCAGCCAAATAAGCTGCCTGTGCTCTGACAAAGTGAGGAAATCCTGCTTGTCTGTAGCCAGAAGCTGCAATAACTTTCAGATTATTTTTTAAACCACTGACAGAAGAAAATTCTGTAGTACAACAAGTCTCTTACCTCAGGTCTGACATCATAATTTCTACCCCTTACAAGGCCAGAAATGACCTTAACTACACCAAGTGAAGCAGAGCCCAGTTTGTCCTGTTTAAAGAGTTTCTTAACTGCCTCACAGCAGAGTTGAGAAATCTGAAAAGGGAATTCAAATAAATTCTGTAAAGCCAGGTCTGCAACAACAGCTAACAGGTAATACTGATGGCATTTACTGATTAGAAAGTGGACACACTCTGTAACAGAGAAAAAAACTATGGCCGCAAGATCTGGATATTGTGGAATAAAGCTCAGAAACAGATTATTTTTCATTTTTTCTTTCCCCAGTCAGAAAAATCACCTACCATTTTTGATGTGTCGTTCATAAGCGGAACAATGAGCACAATAATGTTATTGTGGAAGTTAAAGTGGGGTAGGGCCACCAGCAGCTCACACAGACACTTCACTGCTATCTCTGCCAGACCTTTATATGCTTTTAATGAGATGACATTGCTTTTCTTCAACTTCCTTTGTTTCCAATCTGCACAAAATATTGAGTGATTACTGTTCAGGATGCAGGGCAACTTTGAAGCATTCACATTTTCAGTTGCTGCAGGCATTCTCCTGCATACCTCTTGCACGTACTATTTCAAAGACAGCAGGCAGCATCCAACCAGAGGAGGCAAAGTGTGATGCCGCAAACAATTTTGCACTTACTACAAAAAATAGGAAGTGTTGGCTGTACCTTTAATAGTTTGTTCCAGATTTTCCAAGTAAAATTTATACTGGCTTACAAGGCCTTCTTCAAATTCTCTCAGTTTCTGAGTTTCTTTTTTAACCTGTAAACATAATACTAATGAGATTTTATCTGCAGAGCTAAATCCTGAAATTAGTCAATGGTGAAAAAAAAAAAAGAAGTTTTAAAACAAATATCAGATATCTAAGTAGTTTCTTCTTCTAGACAGACATTCCTAGAAATGTATTAAAAATAAAGTACTTCTACATATTCCTAGACATGTTCTTGTGCTCAGAGAGTCTTTTCCAACTACACCTATTTCATTTATAGAGAACGAAGTGAAATTCTCAACTGGATGTTTATTTTAAAGCCATGACTTTAAAATGCACTACCTATATTCAAGAAACAAAAGAATTGGTTAAAAAAAAACTCCAGAAAGCAAGTTACTCTGCATTTGTTCAGCAAAGTTCAAAGGAATCTGTGCCAGTTAGGTGACAATGTTGCCGAATTTGTTTCTTTTTTAGTTCCCTTCCCTTTACAATGAAAGTCACCGAGGTTTGGTATACTACTGCCATATACTACTCCCTCCATTACCACCACCATATCACCTATTATTGAAAGAAGTATGTTAGAATTCAAGGTTCAAAACAAAGGCTTCTGCCCCTGAAAGTGCCATTTTCAGAACTTCCTCAAGTACTTCTGCATTTGTGACCCTTTGCTCAAAAATATGAATTCATATTAAACCAAGCATTGCTTCAAAAAATCTGACCTACTTAAAACACTTATAAAGAAATTTGGTATTTCACCTTGGTAGCCTTTTCTGCTTCAGTCAGAGGACGAATTTTGTAAGAAGGCACAATATCTTTGAAAACCTCCATCAAAGAAACCATGACCAGCTTCCGAACAATCACGGCCACATTAGGATCCTGTTCCATCAGCATAGCACGCAGCTCCTTCAACTTTTTGATCTGATTAAGAAAAGAGGCAAAGTCAGCCGAAGATCACCCACAAAACAATGCACAAGCGCAACGTACATTTCAGCAAAGTTTTGCCACAAGAAATGTGCCTCACTTTTAAATACTAGAAAGATAAAACCATTAACTCAGCAGCTCGTCAGACTCTACTTAGCACTGCATGAAGCAGAAACACAAGTTAGATATCTCAACATATTTCTTCTTGGGAATGTTCAAACAATCCTGCTATTACAAACTTACATGGAATAAGAACTATCAGACACAACTCTGAAATCAGAGCTTAAGAAAAGGTCATGCTTAAGGAGAAAAGCAGTTTGGACAGGAAATACCACAGACAGCATTGTTCCTAAAACCACGAGTATTCAGAGGCATAAATCACTCCTGAACGGAGCAAACATAAGAACCTGGATCTTCATCTGATTCAAATACTTTGTATCCATCTATGGCAGCAGTTTCACTGTTTGCCACCACCTTAGAAGTGATATAGCACCGATCTTTTTCCTTTTTCTATACACACATTATTCTGCTTTTGCTATTTTTTGGTAACCACAAATCTTCATTTGTTGACATTTACTGACTGTGGAACGCAAACACACATAGGCATGCGCTGGATAAATGCTACCTACGTTGTTGTCTGGCTCGGAGAGAATGGCAGCTGCCAAGGCAGCGATGTGCATCTTCCTTTCCTGCAGCTTTTGTCTCCTTTGGGCAGCCATCTCCTCAGGAGTGAGAACAGGCAGGTGTTCCTCATGAAAGTCTAGCACAAGGTGTAAGAGTTAGAACAGAGGGTCACTAGGGAAGCTGCTTAACCAACACTGTACTGCAGACTACGGTCCTAGATGCTGCGTTTCAGATGGGTACTGCAATAACTCCCCCTGAGGGTAACACGTGTAGTTCCACGGCAAAAGAGGCTTTAAGAATGACCTTGCTAGAGCTTATATTAACCCAGAGATTAATTTCTGCTACAAAAATCTTATGCTTGCAAAAAGAAATAGGCCAAACGTTTTTGAATCTGCGAATGGTATTCCCTCTGCACAGTGGGAACGTATAAACTCGTATGACCCCAACTGTGCCAAAAAACTGCAGTGCTCTGCAATTTGCAGCAAATTATTCCGCATTCACTTTTTCTTCTAAAAATACAGTTGTTTTTACTTGTGTTTTCTGAGCATTGTTTTGCTACAAGTACATCCTTCCTCAACTTCAGATTACATTTAGAGAAAAATTACTCCGAAGTGGTAGAGTTACAGCTGCAACTGTTTGTTAAATATGACTCCTAACAGGATAGCAAACTGCAAATCAAATCCGAATTTCCTGGTATTCTGATGTTTTAAGTAAAATGTTTCAAAGACAGATGCTCAAAAGACTAAACAAGTCTGTGCTCTGAATTCATTTCAAAATTACCTCAGAGCAACCAAACTAGAACCACAGCTACATTCTTTAAGTAAGACCAAGACTTCCCTTCTCACTTGCAAAGATGACACAACTGATACAAGGAACTTCACACAAACATCAGTTCCAGGTGAGAATCAAAATAATTTTAAAGAGAGATTCTGAAGCCAGCTGCTCCCCAGGTCCTGGGATCTTAACAGCTAAGCAAGCAAGCGCTGAATCACCGTTATGCTTTGGGGGCAACCTGGTAATGAACATACTCAAAACCACCCTAAACAAAATACACTTAAATTACAAACTTCCTTAGGGAAGAGCAAAGTACTGTTCAGAAATGTTAGCGATTTGGGAAAAAAACCCACAAAAACACCAAAAAGCAAACATGTTTTACTACCTTCTGCTTCCTCCATTTCTTCTGTATCCTCTTCTTCATCCTCTGCAGTATTAAGAACTGCAAAAACAGAGTGTCTAGTAATGTAACAAGCATGTAATAAACATTGTGGAATTTTAAAAGAATAAATTATATACATCTTGGCTACTACACCACTTCAGAAATCTGTGTCTCACCTGGCTTTTCCATAGTTTGGGGAATAATGCCACCCTTGTCTTTGATGGGGAGCAGATGGATGAGTTCTTTTTCTGGCTCAGTCTGCATGCGCCTTGGCACCTTCTCATATTTGTCAATCACGCTTTCATGTTTTCGTTTCTTGACATGAACAGGTTCACTGAAAAATATAAAGCAAACTAAATGAATTAGCCATTTAATTAGGCAAGAACCATGCATGACAGTACACTAGCAAGACTTAATGTCTGCACTTAGAAAAATAAATAATGGTTGATCTTATCAAGTTGAAAAATAAACAATGGTTGATCTTATTGGGTGTGTTCACCATTGGCGGCACCAGTCACCGCTCAGTTCATTAATGTTAATGTGTATCTGTACAGGACCTTGGAATTCAGGACAATACAGTGCTTTCTACCTCCTTTCTACAGGAAACTAAATGTGAAATTAGCAAAGATAAAATTAGATTTAGTTAATCTCGCAGGTCAGCCAACTTCATGAATTTTGGAAAGTTGGCATATGAGTGTAAGCACACACACGTACAAAATGCTTGCATTGATTTTGAATTTACGAAAAAAAATTAGTTGAATGGTGTAACCACTTGTAGTACAGGCAGACTATGAAGTGTGTTATCTGTTTATCTTAAAAAAACTAAAACCCAGGGATCAAGAATTGAAACCACATGGTCTGTCTTACAACAGGAACATGCTTTTGCTCCTGGACATGTGAAGGACTCTGAAAGCCCTGGGCTCGGAGCCTGCTAAGCTTCAGAAAGTAAAAATCACTTGTATGAGAAGTAGTTTTATATCCCAGAGTCTACCCAGATTCCCTGAACAACGCACAGTCACTCCCGTAAGGGCAGTGCATCAGCCTCAGACCTTCCCCATGTACCCAAATCTGACCCAATGAGCACAGAGTGACCTGCTGAGCATGAGGAAAATAAAGCTGCTGTGAAAACAAGGGAAATTCTGGGTCATGCCGGACATCTGGAAACCCTAGTACTAGCTGGTGGGTTTGAGCTGGCACCACTCCTGTTTATGCAGCAGTAAGGGGCTTGGGGACCTTTCAAAGTAAGGCAACAGTGAACAAATCAGGTGAAGCCTGTAAAAGCAAGCATCCTTCAGAAATGTGATTTCAGCCTTAAAATACTAAAGATTTTGCAAGACACAGATTTTTCAGCCCAGCCTGTCTCTCACTTAGGCCAGAGTGCTGTTTTTATCTGCCTTCCTGGGGCTGTGCTGCCTCACCACAGGAGCAAGTGCCCTGGAAGGGCTGGGACTCACTGAAAAGCTAACCCTGAGCAGCCCCGCCATGAAGGGCTCCAGCAGCACGCAGCAAGTGGGGCGAGGATCCTCTCACTGGACAAACAGTCACAAAGATGTCCCACAGCCTCGCTCTCCCCTACTGCTCCTCAACCTCCTCGGTGATGCTTCATCACGACGTGACAATGAGTAAGTCAGTCATATTTTTGTTTATTTATCCCTGCTTCATGTTGATTTTTACCACTACTACTATCACCCTTCTACTCTGCTCACTAGAAAAGCCCCCTCTCCAAGGGTCACAGGAATAACGCAGCACTGTGTACCACCCCTTCACGGGATATGCTCCCAACCCGCACATACATAAAAGAACATATTTAGTCTGTGCCAGTATGAACAAGTACTTTATAACTGAGGTAATGTTTAACAAGTTATTAAGAATTACACCTTATCAGAGTAAAGCAAATTAAGAAGACAAATTCTCCAGTTTAAGGGAACACTATGAAAGGAGCTAAGAGCTGGTAACAGTAAATCAGGTAAAAGAGCAACTGCTTCCATTGTGTTTTTCCACCATTCTTAAAATGCCTTGTCATAACAAATGCAAGACACATAGAACCTTATTTGCAAAGTGTCTCCAAATAAAAATGCACTATAAATTTGGAGTTTCGCAAGACTTTAAACTTATGTGACACCCGGTTATTTTGGTTCAAAGGGAAGGTTTAAAGTAAAATTCTTTTAATTTAAGAACTTGCAATGTGGCTATAAAACACCACATGGTAGAGTACGGCACAACTGCAGTTTTGGAAATGAAAAGCCATTTACTACTTTCCGTAGAAACTAGACTAAATTATTAATTAGTAACTATAAGCAGCATTATAATTCATACTGGAATCAACAACAACAACAAAAAAAAGCTAGAAGAAATGCTCACTCTTCTTGAAAACAGTAAAAAATGCTTTTTGATCATGTCAACATTTAGTCTGAAACAACTGCTTCAGAAGTAAAGCGAACTTTATAGGGAAAATTAAAACCATGCTAATGCAGCTAGGCATACGAGTCTTTTCATATTTATCAAAAATGGCAAGTTAAGATTTAACTTGACTACTCTGTAGAAGTGTATTTGTAAAGACTTACAGTTCTACACCTAGGAGCACTATCCTTCTGTTAATTTCATTGTGAACTCTACCTTGCTTCAGCAAAATAGTAAAGAATTTCCTGTACTAATATTTTGGTGTTGCATGTATTTACAGACATGGCTTCCAGAGCCCCTTTTTTTTTTAATACAAAACTTTGCAATGCAATATGGAAAGAACAGTGGCCCAAAGCCCAGGGAATGTCCTGAATACTCTATATAGAAAAAAAGACGCTGTATACAGATTAAAGGATTTCTTTGATTTTGAGGAATGCTCCTCATCTCACAGCCCAGGACCTCACAGGAAGGAAAACCGTGCAGCAACTGTGTCCTGAAGGTCAGGCAGAGCTGGTGAATGTATTGATACACATCGATACATTAATAGCGAATGCCCTGACAGACTAAGGAAACACTCAACTGGAACTGCAAAGAAACCCCAGACTGAAAGTGACCTTCTCAGGTACGCATCCCATTACATACTAATTACATACTAACCACACAAAGCTGAATTAGTACGAAAAGTAGACATCACACCACCACTCACTCAGAAGAAAGATCTCTGGTTAAAAAAGAAGCCTTTTGAGCCAAATCCTCCATTAATTGTAAGTCATCTTCATCCATCATGTCCAGAGGAAGAGCATCTTCTTCCTCTTCTTCCCATTTCTGAGCTGTTTTAGAAAACAATGTGTGCAGATTAAGATCCTGTACCTATAAAAACTTGAAAACCTAAGCCTGCCTGCATTTGTGAGATCATATTACAACTTATTTCAACCTAGAGCTCATCAACCCTCATGCATGTTTTGTGTTATCCCAGAAAATCGCCCCTTTACTGTGACATCCAATAATGACCAGAGCAAACACATTTCTACCATCTCCAACTGTCAGAACTTGTTGCCAGAATGGCTTTCATAACTCTTTTTTTCCTTTAAACAAGAACAGCAACTGTTTGTACACAGAAAATGAGATGTTTAACTTACATAATTTTACAACACGAAGCAGCAGGATATTTAGTAACCCTCTTACCTTTTCACCTAGAAAAATACCTCAGAGCAAACTCTTACCAACTTTTTTCTTGGATTCTTCCAGTGGAAAAGGTTTTTTAGAGATAGCATCTCTGACAGCTTCCCTTAGCTTCTTTTGTTCCTTTCGATACTTCCTAGCAGCACTCTGCTGTTTGTACTGTTTATTCTTTAATTTGTTGTCAAGTTTTATTTTACTAGTTCTCAGTAACTTTCGAAAGCTTGGAACTCGTTTGGTGTTTTTTCTCTAGGAAACAAACAGAAAACTACAAGTAACTGACATGTTCATAGCCTTTGTGAATTTTTTTTCTTTTGGTGAAAAAAACCCCAAAACTCCTTAAGTTCATATTTCTATCAGCGCTGAACAACATATTTCTTCCAAACAGTATCATCAGCCAGCTCCAAATTTACCCGGGTTGTTTTTAAGAAGACATCTGTGAAAAATGTTTTGCAGAAACACTGACAACTTCAGACACATGAACACAGTAAAGAGGTTGTTAAGGCACAGTTCTTTGCCCTGTGTGCTCCCAAACACTCTGTGGCCACTCTTCAGGATGCTCTCCTTGCCCAACACACGGTAAGTAAGGCACAAGGTACCTTAGGGTACCTTACAGTACCAGTGCAAGGTGGTAGCCTCAAGCAAATGTCACCCCTGTCCATGCTGAGCTTTGGAATCACAGAATCATAGAATGGGTTGGAAGGGGCTTCTAAAGGTTGTCTAGTCCAAACCCCCTGCAGGGAGCAGGGACAGATCAGATGAGGTTGGTCAGAGCCTCAACAAGCCTGACCCTGAATGCTTACAGGGATGGAGCCTCCACCACCTCTCTGG